GTCCAGTGTAAGTTCAAGCTTTGTTCACCTAAATATACTTTGTTTATTTTCAAACTGCAATAAAATAGTCTTATATTAATATAAAAGGTTATATATGACTCACTGAAAACTTATGTGTAATCTTTGTGCATGCCAAGTTTCAAATGCCCATGAAGTTATTGTAATGAGATGTATGCTATTATGTATTTTTGTCATTTCCATATGTAAACAACAACATTGAAGACACCATATTACTGAAAATTTTAAAAATGAAAAAGATTAATTACTTACATATTATGAAATTTGCAGTTTGTTTTAACAAAAGCAATAAAGAAATGATGACAATATAAGGAAAATTGTGTGCTTCACTGGTCAAGACTGAACAATAACATGGGTTAACATGACTCAGTCAATTGCTAAAGATACCAAATTTCTTTTCTAACTGACATATAGCCACAATTCAAATATATATATATATATATGGAATCAATTTTTACTTTAGTGCTTTAGTTTATGTACATGTACTATTGACTTTGATATTTTAGATCTTTAGAATTTTTTGTAACGCCATCATATATTTTTATTTTTATATAAATTAAATATAGCTATTCACATACATATATTTATGCAGCAAAGTCGTAACTAGTACTAATACTAATAATAATATAAATATTAATACTATCATTATTATTAGTATTACTCAATTTACTGTCAGTGTCACTGTTCTGTTCAGTTGGTGAGCCAAGATGAACAATTCCACTTCCTCAATTTACCATAAGATAAAGTTGAAAAACAAAGAAAAATATGTAAATATTACTATTATTATATTTTTATTCACAAAAAATAACTCAAAATTTAACAACATACTATTTTTCTGCTTGACGAATGCATTCTTCCCCTTCTGAAACTTTCCTTTCGGTAGCCATGGTTTTTACCGTAGTGTATCGACCTCTATAATAATTTAAAGCTAATCTATTTAATTAATTTTATTTTGTTGTAATAAAGTACTTTTGTGCCCTCTAACTATTACAACTTAATGTGGATTTTACAACAAATTTTTAATTTATTTTTCCGCGCAAGCAAATGTACAAAGGTATGCATGTATATACAATGTATTCTACATAAATTATAGAATAGTTGAATGTATAAGATTGCTTATTGCTAATTCAAATTCTTTCAAAATGTTAAATGCTATACTTTACAATATAAAATACATCAACGCAAGGCGGATTATTTGTTTCTTTGATTTCACGCAAGACTACATGAGGACGATTTACCCTATTCGTCCTTACTTTTAAGGCGATTAACTATAGAGAATGCAGTTACTCAATACCACCCATCGTATGTGAGTGTAAGTAATGCATGCTCTACATTACAGTCTTCGCAAGCCAACAGTGCCCTCACTTCTCCTGTAGAGTTCTCTTCATCAAAACATTTTACACCTTCTCCCATTAGCATCAGATCTCATAATCACCTTCAACTCACATTTTTATGCTTCATCACTCCTTCACACGCTCTCTGAACAAAACAGCAATTCCCCTCTCATTTTCCTTGAACTCTCTCTTTTTTTATCTGAAGATTCCAGTGGCATTTTAACCCCTTTATCTTGGTTACTCTTGTAAGATCAAATAGTAAGATTTAGCCGCCACTCTTATAACGAACCCGTGGCCCAGAAGTGCGAGTGCAAGTTATTTTGTTTTATGAGAGGCGTAACGGGACGCAAACCACGGTGCCTCAGCGTCACAGTCTACAGGCTACCACTGGGCCGTGCTTGGGATGAAGACGTAAAATAAAGACATCAATGCAAAAATGTGAACAAACAACACTGTTAAATTTTTTCTCGGCCTTCTTAGAACCTGGGCCCAATGAATACTTCATTTGGAAAATTAAATTGTGGATTCACTTGTGGCACCAAGACCACCCAGAAAAAGACCTGCAACAAGTATTCCATTCGTGGTAAGCAAAGTGTGTCATCTTGTAACAGGTGAAAACCCATGAACGCAAAGTAGCAAAAGCTATCACATGTCTCAGTCAACAGTAGGCAATTATAAAAAAATCCCCATCTTTAAAAGTGACACAAGTTACTTACATGGCATAGCTATTCCAATGTCACATACCTCAAGTATTAGAGAATAAAACGTATTCGTGCTATTCCATATGAAACATACCAGCCAATTCACCGAATGTAGCACCTGTTAATTAATTTCTCTGTGATTGAATTGTTGAAATGGTACTGGGAACTATCATCCTTATACATTAGATGGATTATAGAAATAGCATGATAGCCTTACTGTTGGATATTGTTTGTTTATTTGTTTTGAATTTTGTGCAAAGCTACACGAGGGCTATCTGCACTAGCCGTCCCTAATTTAGCAGTGTAAGACTAGAGAGAAGGCAGCTAATCATCACCACCCACCGCCAACTCTTGAGCTACTCTTTTACGAATGAATAGTGAGATTGACAGACACTTTATAACATCCCTACGCTGAAAGGGTGAGCATGTTTGGTGGGACAGTGATTCGAATCTGCAACCCGAAGATTGCGAGTCAAGCGCCCTAACCACTTGGCCATGCCGGGCACTGTTGGATATATAAAACTGTTTAGTGTAAGTATAGTATTAATTAATTTATTTTGCGAGTTAAATTTTCATGATTATTTAGTTTTTCATAACAAGAGAGTTAAAAGCAATTATTTCAAAGGCAATAGTTATGACAAGTTTGGTTACATAATACGGTAAGAGTCGTATGTTGTATTTGCAATTCATTGATGTGGAGTCTATAGAAATTTCAAAAGGCCTCAGTGATAAACATATTGTTACGTCTCCGTTTGTTAATTGATTTTCCGTAAATTCGTTCCGACGAAACTTTAGCGACACAAGTCCTTACTTAATAAAATTGGTTTATTCTTTCCGAATATAACTTTACCGATACACTTATTTTCAACAGTCGCGCTATAATTCTCAACGAACTTCTTACGTGCTTAACAATATTCTCTCTGACTGCAGTTCAATTACTCACTACCTACACACATTGTTATCCCGTCACGTTGTGAGCGTCCTATATATATACCAGACTAACATATATCTAGTAAATGCTAGGGCATTCACGAAGGAACAGGATATTTTTAGAAACGTGGCGTGACACTAGTCACGTGACCTCGCTGTCGCAACACTGCTCCCTCCTTAGTATTGTTCGTCCCGAACAATAACCACATA